ATGTTAAAATAGGGCTAAAGGAAGACCTTAAAGGGGTCATATAATGCCATTTTTGTACAAGCTAATATGATTCTTTAGGGTCTAAATTAAAAGTTTGTAATATACTTTAATTAAAAATTCTCATTAGTATTGTCAGAAAACACTTATTTTACCTGGTAAAAAACAGCTCTGTTTTCAGCACGCCGTTTCAGTGTATATGACTTTAAATGATCATGAGCTTTGCTGACTCCGCCTCTCTGTTCTATGCGTACACCAGAGCCGGCTCTGGCGTACACCGTTTGTAACACAATAACACAATAACCATAACACGTTGTTCAGTATAAACGTGGGATTATGCATTATATTGAGAACGTCATACATAGAAAACATGCCGTAATGTACCCTGAGTGTAAACCTTAGACGCATTCATTGTGAAGCGTGCAGCTAGCGATTTACTAGGATTAATATAAATATTAATATAAAGTTTAATAAAACGTTACACTCACTTCAGTTCTTCTGGAGCAGCTGCAGGAACACGAATAGATGGTACCGATCCTTTCAGGAGCAGCTTCTTAACAAAACCAGCTTTATACCTCCTCGTTTATAAAGCAGTCTGGTGTGTGAAATGATTCGCGCAAACATGAGAGCATTGACGTTGCTCGTGGGGAATATTCCCTTCGAAAACAAACTCAGCCACTGCGTCTTCGGCGGTTCGGATTTAGGAACATTAAAATGACTGCTGTGTTCGTTATTATACCCAAGAACAGAACACCACAATCGCTTAGACGCCATTCTGCTCATAGACAGTGCTCCAGCATATCAACAATGACCGCGCCGGTCCGCGCAGACTATGATTGACACCAAGCTCACGAGCGAGGGCGGGTCTGTGTTGAAACCCTTCTGTCAGTCAACAATCGTGGGAGGGGCGTCCGTTTTATTGACGTCACAAAAACGAACGGCTCAATTTGAGGCAGGGGAAAACATATAAGGAGATTAAAACAAAACCACTGGATGGATTTTTATCATTATATGATGGCTGTGTACAGGCACTGCCAACACACATTTCAGTACAATCAACTTGTAAAAGTGCATGTACCATTATATGACCCCTTTAAGAAAATTGTATTTTCACTACTCCCATGTTTGATTGCAGAAAATGTATCTTTGTATTGAACATTGATAGAGCAACAGATTTTGTGTGATTTTTTTTTATTTTATAAAAGTTGTTTATTTTGTTTTAAATTATTATAAATGTATATAAGGTGGCAAGGTGGGCCTTTTACCCCACACACTGGGTAAAAGGCACATATTATTTATACAAATAGCCTTATAAATACAGAAACAAAATTATCTTAAAAAGTAAAGATTCTGAAAGCATTGAAGAACCCATAATAATTTAATTTAGATTTACAGTAGTAACAATAAATTATTTTAATGATATGATTCATACCATATTTTTGAAAATGGTTTCATTATAAATATGGCGATTATCTCGTGGACACTAAATATGATATTTACCATCTGAATCTAACAATGTCATGTCAACAGATGAAAAAGTCAGCCAGCTATTTATTGTGCCTTTCGTTTCGCCCCAACGGCAGGGGTGCCTTTTAACCCAATTACCATACTTTTACACATTTTTCCGTTATTGAAAAACTGTTGCTTTAATTAGCTTGAACAAAACTGAAATTCATTAAGAAGACCTTTGTCTCAAAATATATTCAATAATTTAGCAATTCTCAAATCTACAACATTTTAAACATCACATAAATCTACTTTGCGCTGCTGCCCGTGATCACGTTAATGATCAGCCAAATTTCCATGTGCATCTTGAAAAGCGTATTTTTGGAAAGTGCTGCGGCAAGTTCTTCTCCATCTAGTGATTTAGAGGAAAATCTAATCAAAGGCGCCTTTTACCCCGGTGCGCCTTTAGCCCTGTTGTTTATAAATGTAGGACCATACAAATATAGTTAGAAAAACTCAAAGTACAACAAATAATACATTCTGTTTTGATGTGCATGGAGTGAGAGAACCAAATGCAAAACATTATAATATGTATATGGAGTAATCAAGGCAGAAATTGTGTGTCGGGCAGATGGTGGTATGCAAAATGTTAAAGTGCATCTGTCTGTCTACTGTTTAGTTTGCTTGCAGTTTTTATTTGCTATATAGTATTTCCATCCTCTAGCACAGAAACGCATATGGTGAAATGTTGTGTTGTGTTGTGTTGATAAAACATTTCAACATTAGGGAGCCAGAGTTGACTCTATAATTCAATATGAAAAATATGAGTGTAATGGGTCAGTACTTACTTTACATTTGGATCATTTTCATATTATGGCATATGAGTTTAACGATTTATCGTGCAGAAGAACAATTTCATTAGCTTTCACATGTTTAGAGCAGGTATGACAAAATCTCTCATGAATTAGCATTGTTTGCCCATTCCAGCAGGTTCTTTTAAACAATTTGTTTGACTGTTCAGGGACATTCATAGATGTTGCATCCCATTGTATTTTGAAATCTTTGTGACATTGTACATTGGGACGCTTTGTCTGATTACAGTACAATGAGGGTTTTGGATGGATGCCTGTGGTCAGCCCATTTCACCCAGCACTCACATTGAGGTCCTTTCCCAGTGACAAACAGCCCTTTTTCAAATGTAGCAATGAAATTGCTCATTTTGTCAAAGTTGTATGAAAAAAAGACAAATTAACCAAAGGTAAGTGTTTTTTTCTTTTCTATTTTAGTATGTTCATTAATGAAATGGTCATGATTTTGTACAATTTCATTAAATGAGTGAGCCATTTTATGCACATTGATTGACCTATACCAAATTACATCATGATGCAAAGAGATAGATTACACACAAAAATCAATCAATTTTACATCAATTACGCATGATGAAGAAATACAAATATCAACATGTTGGGCATCACCAACCGAAAGTTTGTGAAATATTGTAATAATTTGCATAAACGGTAGATTATTTGACTCTCTTAAGAAAAATAATTTTACTTAATATATTAGATGACATCATAACACAATATCTTTGCCTTTTTCACTGTTTCCTTGTCTTCTCCAGATTAAAAAATGGGGGACTGGTCTATTCTGGGCCGCTTTCTAACAGAGGTTCAGAATCATTCGACGGTCATCGGTAAGATCTGGCTGACTGTGCTCCTGATCTTTCGCATACTGCTGGTGACCCTGGTGGGAGACGCCGTGTACAGTGACGAGCAGTCCAAGTTCACCTGCAATACACTGCAGCCTGGTTGCAACAACGTCTGCTATGACACTTTCGCCCCTGTCTCACACTTGCGCTTTTGGGTCTTCCAGATTGTGCTGGTCTCAACGCCCTCCATCTTCTACATCATCTATGTGCTGCACAAAATCACCAAAGACGAGAAGCTGGAGACGGAGAGGGTCCAGGCAGAGGCCAAGCAACCTGGGCGGCCGGAAGGTAAGAGTGTCAAAGTGGCATATGGACCCCGGGGAGAAGAATGGGCTGGTCAGGATGAGGAAAGTGTGGAGCAAAGTCTACTGCAGGATGATTTCGGTGAGGTCAGCAAGGACCCAACCACACTCTCCAGTCAGGTTCTCCTCATCTATATTGTTCATGTCCTGATTCGCTCCGTCCTTGAGATCACGTTTCTTGTCGGTCAATACTACCTGTTCGGATTTGAGGTGCCTCATTTGTTCCGCTGTGAAACATACCCTTGCCCTACACGGACTGATTGTTTTGTGTCTCGAGCCACCGAAAAGACTATTTTCCTTAATTTTATGTTTAGTATCAGCCTGGGTTGTTTCCTCTTGAACATTGTGGAGCTTCACTACCTCGGCTGGATCTACATTTTCCGCATGTTGTGTGCCGCCTGCTTTCTGTGCTGCAAGCCAGAGAAGGAGCTGTACCCTCAACACAAACCTTTATTGCTACGCCTCAGACACTCAATGAGGAGCAGGCTGGTCCTGCAGTCACCAACCACCACCCTGTCTCAGGAGAAGACGGGGACGGCTTTGCTTTCACATGGCCCAGCCATCTCGTTCGAGACCGACTCTACACTTGAGTGCACCTCAAAGAGAAACCCAGAGGAGAGGGAACGCATGAGGCTGAAATTGGCCAATATGGCTAGATTTACTGGCAAAAAGTCCTGGTTGTAATGTGTACTGATGGTTTTAAATTCTCGTTACATAAGCTTGTTGTACATTTCATTCAGAGGCCTGTTTCATCTATTTTGGGGGCCATTTGAACAAGTTACAGCTTTTACAATGCATGCGGTGGTGCTGCGTCCCAAAAGAAACAATGAAAGTGGACGTTAAGGGCATTATATGCTGAAATCAGCAGAAAACAGAATGAAAGTGCTCACACTTTAATTTGAAAAATAAAGTTACATTTATTTATCATCAACATAAGAGCAACATACAATGATCTACTCACCCATTTGTTTGAAAAAAGACAGCTGATATCAAACACTTACTTACACACTATGAAAAGTCTGTAAAAATTAAGCCTGACGTACTGTGTTAATATGAAGACATTTTCTGCATTGTTTTTTTTTTTACACAGGTGTTTTACTCGTATTTTTTTAGGACATCTTTTTTTTTTAAATAAATTGTTTTCCTACAGTGTAACCCAGGCAGGAATCAGTGTGAAGCTCAACATTAGCCTGCAGGATGTATAAAATAGGCCTGAAACTTTTCAGTGATGAAATATGTTATTGTGACATTGTCAGCTGAGCAGAATTGTTCTTGTGTTGTTATGTTCTGTGCCATTTTATGTTTGATTCAAATGCTTTCAATGCTTGACCTAAAAAAATGTCACCCTTTTAGAGCAATTATTATAAATCAAGATAATCACCTTTCAAAAATTTTGAAATGTCATAAAAATGAATATTATACTACAAAATGTCAGAATTTGATCATCAAATTATAAATGTACATTATATTACATCTACTTAATTGTATGAATACTTGACTGTTATTTCATTAATGAGATCCATGAAATAATGATACATGATTTCTGAGACACATGTATTGCAATGCACAACAACTGTTGGACCAGTGCTATATCTGCACATGTAATAATTAGCACATGGTTGATGTGAGTGTTCATTTCGCTTGCAGTGCAAAAGCTTCTGTATATGCACTGCACAGTGAGAGTGCATAATTGCTTGATTACCATATAAATGAAGCTCAATACAATCAGAAGGTGCTTCTATACTCAGAAAAAGAGAAATACATTTTTATTTTTTGAGAAATTGAAAAGTAAATATATTTTAAGCTGAACTTCTCTTAGATTTCATAGAACTGTTTATTTTAAAAATAGGTGATAGTATCAGACATTTATACACTACAATGCAAACATGCTAAAGTTTGGGGTCAGAAAGATTTAATAAATTAATACTTTTATTCATCTATACTGATCAAAAGAGGCAAAAACAAAAACTTCTATTCTTTTATAAAAACAAAATCTATTTTTAAATTAATGGTGTTCTTTCAAACTTTCAATTTATCAAAGAATACTGAAAAAAAAAGTATCACGGTTTCCACAAATATATTAGGCAAAATCATATTTGATTCATTTCTGATGAATCATGTGACACTGAAGTAATAGCTGCTGAAAATTCGGGTTTGCCATCACAGGAATAAATTATATTTAAAAATATATTAAAGTGTAAAACAGTTATTTTAAATTGTAATAACATTTCACTATATTACTGATTTTACTGTTTTTTTTTTATCAAATGAATACAGCCTTATAAGCATAAGAAGCTTCTTTCAAAAACATTTAATAAACTTAAAGACCCCTAACTTTTGAAAGTAGTGTATGTTTATAGTTTTTTTCCATCACCAAAAGGATGAAAGAGCATTTAACCTAAAACAATGCATGCGTGATCAGAAAATGATATCCGGAAACATTTCCAAATGCATCTTCATTAGCTGGATGTGCAAACATAAAGTCAATGGCTTATTTTACATTTAAAATGAAAAAGAAAGAAAAGAAGGAACAAAAACACAGAACGATAAACAAAAAATAAGGATTTTCATATTACCCTGAATTTTAATGATATTGAGTACTAGCAACAAGAGCTGACCTCCTCAGCTGACTTCTCTCCACCTGGCCATAGGGGGGCACTGTTTATTTTGGATCCCATTTTAACAGTTTCATTCTGAACACGCTCTGTCCCGATCCTCTTCTGGATTTCAGAGGCCATTGTTAAAAATGCCTTCTCTACGTTGTTTGCGTTCTTGGCACTTGTCTCCAGGAATGGAATTTTGAGTGACTCAGCAAATTCCTGAAAAAGTACAAATTAAATGTAATATATATAAATTTAGCTTAGATCTGCCAATCCTGTAGAACAGACCTCACCAAAATTTGCATAAGCAGAGAGCTTACCTTTGCTGTGGTAAAGTCTACCACCTTTTTTGAGGAAAGGTCACACTTGTTACCGACTAGCAACTTGGAGACATTTTCACATGCATAGCGATCAATTTCTTCTAACCATTGCTTCACATTGTTGAAAGACTCCTGTATAAACAAAGTATTTTATTAATTATTATTATTAAGCAATTCTCTTTACACAAAATGCTAAAATAATAAACCTTCTGTAATATTCAAAAGTATTACCTGCTCAGTGACATCATAGACAATTATAATCCCATGAGCCCCTCGATAATAGCTGGATGTTATTGTTCGAAATCGCTCTTGCCCTGCTGTATCCCACTTCAGGACGGAGAAAAGCATGGCACATGTTTTAAAAAAGCAAAATGTTGTTTGCAGAAACTTTGATAAGATGTCAATCCTTATGCAGGCATTTAGGACTTTTTTGCTCTAATGCATTGGTCACCAAACTAAGGCCCGCCACCCCCCTTTGACTGCACCCCCCCGCCAACCCCCCCCGCCCCCCCCCCCCCCCAGTCCCTCTGCCCCCCACTACTTGAACCGGCCCAATGAGGCAATCCCCAAAAGTCGTCATGGCCTATTTTTTTTAATTGCTTTTTGTTCTACTACTCATGTTATTATAATTTCAATGTTTTTTTTTAATGAATGAATTTATTTTATAGGCCTGTGCTGCACACAATTATTATTAATATTATTATTAATATCAACAGGCCTACCTATAATTTATCATTTTTTCACTCACCTTTGCCAGTGTCAATCACCTCAACTAGGCAGATGTTTCTTACCTTGACAGCTTTGATGTTATTTTTATTTGAAAATAAATAAATGGAATATCTGTGGTATTTCAAATTAAAACAAAGTGTGAAGACTCGATTACTACTTTTGCAAACCACTAGTAAAGATAAACAAATATGTGCCAGGAATCAAGTGTTGATATAGTAGTGTGGATATAGTAGTGGGGATGGCTGTGCCATGCTAGTAATCTCTACTACACAATGAGGCCTGCTGACCCGGCCCCGGTCCCCCCATCACAGCCAGGAACGATAATGTGGCCCCCAGAGAAAAAAGTTTGGTGACCCCTGCTCTAATGGGACCAACCCAAGTGATTGGATAGTCATTTCAGTAAAAAATAATTGGCAAATGATCAGTTATTGTCACTGTACGATAATAATTCGATTTGAAATGTTTCTGTTCCATAGGGGTTTGTTTAAAACAGAACTAATAACTGGATCAAACAAACAAAAAAAGCAAACTTGAATATGAATTGAAATACATTTCTAAACTCACAATCTGCAGTTTGACAGTCTTCCCCTCCATTTCAATAGTTCTGATTTTGAAATCAACCCCAATAGTGCTGATGTAGCTCTCTGTATAGGTGTCATCCTGGTGGAATAAATGTGTTTCATCAACAGAAGAATCAACTCATTTTGTTTTAAATGAAAACAAAAAAACAAAAAACAAAACAGCATATAGATTTGAAATGCCATGAATAAATAACATAGAATTTAGATTTTGGGGTGAACTGCTTTAATTGAATGACACCAATCACTGAAAAAATGATTTTGCTTACAGCAAACCGTAGGAGTAAACATGACTTTCCCACACCAGAGTCCCCAATCAGCAGCAATTTGAACAGGTAGTCACTGAAAAAAACATCATATTATTAACATTGCATGTTACTCTACTGGTGCTCATGCTCAGTGCAAGCTGCATTTACTCATTCATTATGGGCACAATAGATACTATACTGGCATTAAAGGCAGAAACTAGAGGCCATTATTCTTCTCTAGTCATTGTAATTGAAGAAAGTCTGTTGACCGTTAGCAACATTCTTTGAAAGGAATAACTACTTACTACTCAGGATTCATCTTCTGGTTAATTGATCACAGAATGCTGTACAAAAGTGTTTTTAGCTCGATTATCTTTGTTCAGCTGCGTTCTGTCCTTGGAAATGCAAACAGCAACAACCGTGGCAATAGTGAACCCAGATACTGCTCCATCATTTATTAAAGCCTCTGATCAGGTTACGAAGTGGCCATTACCTGTTTCTTAAAGTTGCAGCCTAGTAGCAACAACAAGTGTCAAAGGCATGGCACACAGAAAAAGCATGTTGATTAAGTCTAAACAACTTCTGAAGATATGAACCTACCTGTTAAATTAATTATACAACCAACAATATCCAACAAGCTGTTATTGTAGTGTCAGTGTTTAAGTTAATCACAAAAAAGTTATAAAGCTCATGAAATTTATATTAGCAGGCAAGAAAAAAGGGTGCAACCAAAACCATTACTACCAGTAGGCCTAACCAGTCAAAAAAACTAACTTGTAATAGTAAACTACTGCCACTAGAGGCCGCTGATGAATAAGAATGAGTCCACTCATCTCATTGCTGTTGAACGTTGTTCAGTGTCAGATATTCAATGTCAGATATTACCCCCCCCCCCACCCCCATAAAAAGAAAAAATTGCATTACAAGAAAAGCTTATAGAATTGTCTCAATAATACTTAATAAGTCACATATATCAATAGGTATATGTTTTTTTTGTTTGAGAAAAGATTTTTTATGCTATGCATGCAGAGTTAGTCAGACGTTAGTCACTGAGCACCACAACCGAAATAACAGCCATAGTTCTTCCTGAACCAAAACAACGAGCTTATGCTGCGTTCGCCCCATAACTACTGTAATTTGGAAGTGATAGAAACCTGTGACGTTATACTCAGAGCAGTTTGTGACTCGAAATTATGCGTTTCAATGGCAACACTATCAATGGCGAATTGAATCCACAGCAGTCAGGCGGTACAGGTCAGTGCTCTCTGAGTTGTTCAATTCATTATTATTGTAATGTTATGTGCTTTGAGACATGATGTAGCTTAATGCTGTAAATGTAGGTAGGGCAGATTCTGGATCTTTTAACGGTAGTTTTGTTATGAGGGTGGAAGGTGAACCCAAGCGCAGACAGGATGCAGTGACATGAAGTTTATTATAAACAGAAAACAGAGAAAACAAAACCCACGAGGGGGCAAAACATGAACAGCAAACGTAATGACAAAACTAGACTAGGACTGATGAACAACTAGACTAGAACAAACGGTAAACAAAAAAATATGACTTTCTCTCAGGACAAATCAGTAGGCAAATACTCACAGGGTATAACTATGCTCAACAGAGAATCACACAACATCAAACAATGAACCGGCACAGGACAGCAAATACACAGGGATTAAAAAGGGAACACTAATGACAGGTGAAACTGACTAGACAATAATCACAAGACGAGGATAACAAGGGGGCGGGGTAACGTAACGAGAAGGCCATGCGCTTGGCCATGCGCTTGTACACAAAACATGGTTCTGTCATGATCCTGCCACAAGACTAGGAATAATCAATAACATGATGGCAGAATCATGACAGAACCCCCACCTTAAGGAGCGGCTTCCAGACGCTCCTCAAAGGGACACTAAGCACAAGACAAGACAGAACGAGACATGGACAAAAACCAACAAAACATAGTGAACATCAATAATGGCATACATAAATAAACTATAACAGGGTTCGGTTGAAGCATCAAAAACAACATGCAAGGTAGAGGGGGTGGAGGAAACACAAAGTTCATGGGGGGAGGTCCAGGGAAGATGGGAAGACTGGGGGTCTTGGGTCCACGGGATGAGGGCTGAGGACGAGGACTCTGGGCAGGCTTAGACGTAGACACACGAGGAGAGGTCTTGGGGGAAACAGTCCGGGGCTTAGTGGAGACAGGGAAAACAGTCCGAGAACTAGTGGTGACAGGGACAAACGGGGAAACAGTCCGGGGTACTGCATTGGTGGCGGCAGCAACAGATTCAGACACATAGGGTGAGGAAACGGGACTCCTGACGGGGGACATGGCAGGCGAAGGGGCAGGACTGGGTGCAGCGCTCTCAGTGGCAGACTTGGGTGCAACGCTCACAGGGGCCGGATCGGGTGGAGCGCTCACAGGGACAGGATCAGGTGCAGCGCTCACAGGGACAGGATCAGGTGCAGCGCTCACAGGGACATGCTCGGGTGCAGCGCTCACAGGGACATGCTCGGGAGCTGAGGACAAGGCAGGACAGACAGGGACCTCAAGGATCTTGGCGAGATGAGACAGGTAATCTGACAGGGTCTTGGCAGCAATGAAGATGGGCATCTCCTGACGAGCAGAAACAGACTGTAACACTGCTTTGGCAGCAGAATCGGCCGCGGCTCTATCATCAGCACTCACGACTGCAGATTCAGATACTGCTCTCTTTGAAGCAGGTTCAGGAATAGCCTTCTCCAACGCAGACCTGGGCGCAGCGCTCTCTACAGCAGGTACAGGAACAGGATCTCCTGTAGCAAAGTCCGGAACCGTGCTTACAGCAGCAGGCTCAGGAACAGCGCTCTCAGAAACAGCGGCGGGTTGGAGAGCCTTAGCGAACTGAGGGGAAGACAGAGACGGAGGACAAGAGGCTCCCTTTCTCCTCCTTTTCCTCCTGGGTCGAGGAGCTGAGTCCGTAGCCAGGCTTGAGACCGGTAAGGGGGGCGTAGAGGGAGACGAAGCAGGTACTGGGGAGACCACCACAGACAAGGGGGATTCCGTGGAGGACGACTCCGACGCTGACTCCCACGACAAACGTCTTCCTCGCTTTCCACGGGGGCTGGCGGACACGGGTGGCGGATCGGGAGTCAGGGTGGAAGAAGCTTGGTCCTCATGCGTCACGACGGCTAACATGCGACCCTCAGGGATGACTGGAAGTGTGGCAGGAGGTGAAGACACAGGGGGACCCGGCTGCTCCTTCCGAGACAAGCAGTCCACCATGTTGCGAAACGGACGGCGGACCAAACTCTCTCGTTCAGCAAGGGGAGGGAGGACTTTGAGACCCGCGACGAGGTAGCGGTTGACCAGGGTCTCCGGCAGGAAGAACCTCCTCTCCTCAACGACCTGTGCGTACCTCCTCAGGGTCAACTCACCCTGGGGGGGGGAAAGGAAGCTTGCCTTTGGAACTGTCAGCGATAGCCGAGCGCCACCACAGTTCCGGGTCGGAAGGCTGAAGACAAGCAGACAAGGACTGCACGTCTGCTGGGTTCGGTTCTGGCCGGTTCATTCTGTTATGAGGGTGGAAGGTGAACCCAAGCGCAGACAGGATGCAGTGACATGAAGTTTATTATAAACAGAAAACAGAGAAAACAAAACCCACGAGGGGGCAAAACATGAACAGCAAACGTAATGACAAAACTAGACTAGGACTGATGAACAACTAGACTAGAACAAACGATAAACAAAGAATATGACTTTCTCTCAGGACAAATCAGTAGGCAAATACTCACAGGGTATAACTATGCTCAACAGAGATACTCACAGAGAATCACACAACATCAAACAATGAACCGGCACAGGACAGCAAATACACAGGGATTAAAAAGGGAACACTAATGACGAGGACAGGTGAAACTGACTAGACAATAATCACAAGACGAGGATAACAAGGGGGCGGGGTAACGTAACGAGACACCACAAGCACATGCCCAAAGGCCAAACAATTGGCCATGCGCTTGTACACAAAACATGGTTCTGTCATGATCCTGCCACAAGACTAGGAATAATCAATAACATGATGGCAGAATCATGACAAGTTTATGTTAAACATTTAGTAAGTTTTATATTTGAATCACTGAATACATGCAGACAAACTTTTGGCTTTGTGTTCAGCCTGAGGGTGGTGCTCTAATGATGATTGACAGGCTGTTGTTGTGATGTTATGTCCATCAAGAGGTGCATACATTTTTGGTCAAGATCTTGTATTGGCAATGCAAGAGTCCAGCAATCTGTAAAGTCTACTCTAGCACATCCCAAAGACTGAATGAATTTAGGGTCTGGACTCAAGAGGTGCCAATTCATGTGTGAAAATGATTCTTCATGCTCCCTCCCAACCATTCTTTCATAGTTTGAGCCTGATGAATCTTGGTATTGTCACCCTGGAATCTGGCCATGATGTGTCTTCCTAAATAGTTGTTAAATAAATGAAAAGCTACACACACCATAAATTAGGTTTAGTGTTGCCAAACATGCTTAGAGACCGAGAGACAAGACTGAGCACTCCGAAATAGGTCATGTAACTGTATTATATGATGTTTCAAAAATCGGGAGGAGCATGTTCAAATAATCAATCCAATCACCTTGTCATCAACAATCATCATGTCTATCCTATCAACATGAGAGGAAGCATATATATATATATATATATATATATATATATATATATATATATATATATATTCACTCAGTCGACTCACCTACATTCCTCGACTCACCTACATTTCTCTACAGTTTTTCAACATCTCTCCACCACCCCGACTCCACACTGTTGGCCTGTTCCTTCCACAGCCAGGAATATGGGGGGAGTACTCTGGGTTCGGGCTGAATACGAATACAAGAATAGCCTATTGTAATAAGCAATTAATTTAATTTTAAACATGAAGCAGATAAAGAATCTAAAAGCTGCAGTCCGCAGTTTTTCCTCTTTGTCACCATCTCTGTTCGAAAACTGCAATTGCAGTTATTCGCGGAATTATCAACTTTACTTGAGTTGTGCCTCGGCACGGCACAGCGTGGATGAATCCAATGTTTTGAGGAGAATGTGCGGATGTCAGTTGCCGCACCGGTGTGGATACACTTTTTTTACAGTCTATGGTGGATACTGGCATTCACAGTCACAGATTGTACTTTTTGGAAGTATGACCAACATAATTGTACTTTTTGGAAGTATGACCAACATAATAATTTTCATCGGAAAATGTCATCTGAACAAGTAAGTAACATCCACTTGCTGTGAGAAAAGGCTATAATCTCCACCTCCAACATCCTCACACGCAATATAGTCTACTAGCCGAGACTCATTCTTTATGTGTACAGATGTGACGTAATGACGCAAAGACATGTTCGAATTTCCCGCGGAAATCCACCAGTACCACTGGAATTAAAAAAATTACAAGCTTACCGTTTTGAATCGAGCTAAAGAGAGCGCGCTGCCTGTGAATGTCCTGACTGAAAGACGCGGCGCCAGTATCATGCGCATGCACAGACCGCGCGCCAGAATACAGTTTCTTTCCGCTTGAAG